TGGTCGGTCAACGGCACCATTTCTTTACAGCCGAGTTTACTCGATTATACACTATTTTGACCAACTATGATTTCGAGCGTTTTTCCTTCTTTGATCGTTAGTTTCCAATTCGCCTTGTGTAGTAAATTATCCATTTCTTCGCAATACACTTGTAAAAGTCGTCTTTCCTAAAAACTCCCAACGATAAATTCAAACTTCCCTCAATCCCTCGCGAATGAGGATACTTCGAACAATTGGAAACCTTTACAGACAAAAAAACCCATAAGTACCGGAAAAGGGTCACAAACTACATAATCGCTCAGAGTCCCAAAACAAGATCAAATCATTTCAAAAAATAGAAAACTCATCTCACAATCACCTTAGAAAACCCCGAATAACCCCAAACCCAATTTCATCCGTCACTTCCCAAAAGCAACATTCCCTTCATCCCCCACACTGTTTCCAAAAACAGCAGCGACTTATTCCCTTCCGGTCCTCCCCTAAACTAGAATCGACCTCGCGAGGCGAGCGCGATCCAGGAAAATTTTCCATCGTCCTCCTCCGGGACCCGGGAGGGGGCGTCGGAGAGACGACGGGAATTTTCCACGCGATTTCCCATGGCGCGCGGATTACGCGATCAGCATCTCTGACCTCGGCGATCGACTTGGCCGATACTTCGCGACGGTTCAGGGGGAGTGAGAAGAGCCGGAGAAGAGCAGAGCAGAGCGGAGAGGATCGAGGCAGCAAGCGAATTCTTGGGGTCGTAGGTGCTGGCCATCGGAGCGAGCGAGTACGCGCGAGCGGTTAATGCCCCCGAGCGAAGCGGAGAGTATATATCGTCAGCAGCGTTCACGAGTCGTGGCGCATGCGCCCGCAACGGCGCGCGCATTATGTACGTCACCGTTACTCTGTTTCGTGTCCTGTCCTCTCTTCGCCGTTCCCCTCACGGCTCCATTGCACTGCAGCGCACACCTTCCCCTCCATCCGTTGCTCGCCACACGGTGCACCGTAGTGTCTCTCACCGCGCGAGATTCCCTCTTCTTCTACGCCGTCTTCTGGTCCTTCTTTGTTGCCACCGCTCTCCCTTTGCCCGTCTCTCTTGCTCGTTGTACGATCCTCCGTCTTCGTTCCCCTCTTCCAACCCCGTGGGAGCAGCATGGATAGCAGTACGCGCTCACCTTCCCCTACCGCGCTCTCCTTCCACCACCAACACCGCTGAACGGCTCGCCATTCCCCTTCCGCCCCTCCCCACACCCCACCTCGACGATGCAATCGCGCGCGCTCCGGTCGTTGGCCCCGCGACCACGTCGTGTGTACATCCCACACTCTCCTTACCTACATACACATGAGTGTGCCGTGTGTGTACGTGGCCTCCCGTGTGGGTTTCGGCCGAGCCTGTACACGTATACGCAGACATGCACCGACGCACACGCACAGGAGCCCGCGCCTCGAACTCACTCCTTTCGCGGAAAATAAAAGCGAACCGGTGAACGTGACTCGCGATGCAGCGTTGCGCGGGACACCGATCGTACCGCGACACCAACTCATTTGGACGCTTTTCGGGGAGGTTCTCGGGGTAGCTGTGGGATTCGTATTTGGTAGTTTTCGAGAGTTTTCTGGGAGCGGAGAGATGGTGGATTGATTGCGGAAGGTCCTGGTTCAGGGTTGAATATGTGGAATTTTTAATGAAGGTGGATTTAGATTGATGGATAGGATGAAAAGAGGATTGCCTGGGAAAATGCTTATTTGAGACTCATGATAGAATGTCAATGTGAAATTTGGGATTAGATAAGAAAGAAATGGTATTGCTGGTTATCTTTGCCTTAGAAAACATGAAATGTGTTCCGTCTATCTTTGAAAGAATTGTGAAGATGAAAGGAATCAGGAATTTTCGAAAATTCGTATAGTTCTCATTGAATTTCTCCGATGTTGCACCCCCTAGATCCGTCGTCAACGGTTTAAATTTAGATCGAAGAAGCTTCCCCGCGAGCGTGCAATTTCTCGGATTCCAATTTTTCGGCGAATGGGAAATTCTCATGAAAGGATCTCGGATATGTTCCCATACTGATCTGTTTGCACTTCCCGAGGAGGTGACACAATGGAGGCGCGTGCGCCAGCGAACGTAAGTCCGCGGCAGCACGCGAAGGTGGTCGCCCCCTGACCTGTCAGGGGGAATGCACGGTTTGAGAGATCGATGCACCGCATTCTCCCACAATCCCGCCCGTCCAACCCTCCTGCCCCGGCTGGTTCCACCTCTGCCGGATTCCCGCCAACCCAAGGGGTTCACCAGGGGTTGCTGGCCTCGTCCCGGACACCAGCTCCAGCGACCGATAACTTTGCCGTTTCCGAGATCCGATCGGTCACATTACAATAATGAAAAAAGTAACCGAGAACTATAAGTAGACGCATGGAATCCTTGATCCGCATTTACTTTTAATCGTTTCATTTTCTTCATTAGGCTTCCACGGTTTTATGCTCAATCACTGCTTAGTTTGTTTGCATTTATTATAGATAAATATAGATCCTTGCTCATCGAACAAATTCCTTGAAAATTAATTACCTCGAGAAGCAACGGTCGAACGCAAACAAATTGTCCAGTTACATTTCCATAGAAAATCAATAATCTTCTACGCTACCTTCCCATATATCCAAAAAGACCGTGATACATCTTACAAAAATTCGTTCGTCGAACTATTTGCGATCAACAGATTAGTATTCGTATCAGTTTTTCGGTTTCTCGGGACGAAAATTACGAACGGAAACGAGCGCGCAACGCCGCCGGCGGGGCTTAACATTGGCAACGCTGACAGTTCATTGACTTGCATCGAACGTGTGCACCGATTGACAGGCCGGGCGCGGAGGTGCAACGGTACATCGTTCTCTCGTCTCTCTGGGGCCTGGTGTGCACGAAGTTGAGGTAGGCGAGGTCGCGTGTCTGACGTCACGAGAGAGTCACTTGACGACGAGTGTCGCCAATTCCGTACGCGTACGTGCACGCACGCACACGCGTGAGCGCCTGCGCCCGCCCCTGTACTAACACGTCGCGACGCGCGAGATACGACAAACACCGCGCGCACCGCCCCGAGACAACGACACGAGGGGTACGACACGACCACGACCACGACCACGACGACGACGAGGAACGGCCCGGGAACGAACGACGACGGCGACGTTCCACGCGTCGCTCGTTACGTAACCGAGCCCGCGCAGGGTCGTTGACCGATACGCGGCCGGGAAGTGCCTCTGCCCTGACCTACCTCTTTTCCCATTCTCAATTAGTCGCTCCCGCATGAGAAACCTACTGAGCGAAAGAATCTCTTCTTCGTTTTTTCTCTCCTTTTACCTCCTCTTTCTTGTTTTTCGTCTCCACGCGTCGCTGCTCCCCTGCAGTTTTCGTTATCTCCGATTCTCGTCGGTTCTTAAACCTCTTCAGTTTTACCGAGATTTCGTTCCTTTCTTTACGTCGCAGAAAATAATCGAATCAATCGAATTGTATTCCGTTTACATACGAGTTGCGAGCGTCATATATACAAGTTGACGTCTAACCTGTTTCATTGATTCATCCCTTTTAACCCTTAAAAATGAATGCAAGCAACATTCCCTGGTGGCTCCGGAGAATCGTTTCCAAATCTTCATAAAACCAGGGAATCTGGTATATCCTCGGAATTTCCTTACCAAGGCAAACACGATCCTCCAGTTCTAGAAAAAATCCCCAAACATGGGCATAAAACAGGGTAACCGTTCGAGGTAACCTCCATTTCCCGTGTTCAGATTCGTAGCTGTCATTGTGGTATCGGCGATAAGGTGCGTAGCGAGGCCAGGGCGGGACACACTTCGCGAGGGTAGTTCCTCGCAGAATGCAGTAAGTGGGGGGATGGGGCAGGCAGCGTGCGGGGCACGAGGGTGGGCGGGCGGTTGGGAAGGAACCCGTTAGTAGAGCGCTGGAAGCGCGCTCGCGCGCCCCGCGTCGGGCCTGTACGGTCGACGGGTGCGCGCGCGAGTCGGGTCCGTTTGCGGGACAAGAACCGCGCGATGCCGAGCGGGTACCGCGAGAGCGCGGCGCGAACGGGACAGCCCGTCGCGGGACGGAGACCGAGATAGAGCAGCGGCGCGCGAGAGAGACGGCGGATCGTTCGGTCCGCGCAAGGGGGACTCTCACTTTCACGCGGTGAACTGCGGGTGAACGTCCGGGAATTGGGTCAGAGTGTCCCCCACCTCGCCGTGCCAGAGGCAATGTGCCGAGGCTCTATGCTCTCTGTGCTAGAAAGAGCCAGTTCACAGCCGAGCTCCGATACAAACGGTCGCTTCTCTTTCCCCCGGCCCGCCCCTTACACCCGGCCCCTCTCTTTTTCGCGCACGTATACACGCTCTCTTTCTCTCTGTCTCTCTCGCGCACGGCTCTCTGACCGAAACTCGCGTCCGAGTCGCACGGATCGCCAACGACCGCCGAACGTCGAACAGTTACGGTCGGCGCGTTGTTGAGTTTGGTGGTTTTCCCGGGCGTGTGCGTGGCGTACGGTGCCGTGGGGTGCCGTGGCGTGTTGTATACTGTACACTGTGTCGCGCGTGCATGCGTGCGTACGTTACATATTGGTTCGTTCTTATCAGTGATCCACCGGACGGGGAACTGTGACAAGGTTCTTGCCGACTATCGTTGCAGCCAAGCACGTTCGCGAGTTTCTTTATCCACATCGGTTCAATTGAGAACACCCCGCGAGTTGTGTGGTGTCCTCGCATAGACAATCGAGGAGGGATCGGTGGTGCGCGTCCCGATCGCGCGCGAGCCGTTCGTCTCCCTTCAGCGCCGCTGGTGTTTGGTTTCGAGCCGAAACGATAAAGGCGAGAGAGGAGATAGGAGAGTTAGAATAAAACACGAAACACGGGACACTGGAAGAGGTGAATTAATGGGGTGCTTGTGCGAATGTGACCTGGCCACCCCGCGCACGGGGACCAATTGCTCGTCGGGGTCCTCCTCGGACAGTGACGGTCAGACTGACGAGGGTTTCGTTGGTGATTCGCAGGGATTCTTCCGGCGGAGTATCCAGCAGAAGATCCAGTACCGGCCCTGCACCAAGAACCAACAGTGCAGCATCCTGCGAATCAACAGGAACCGCTGCCAGTATTGTCGTCTCAAGAAGTGCATCGCTGTCGGCATGAGTCGTGATGGTGAGTCTCTTCAACGTACCGTCCCCCGTTCTTCCCTCCGCTACCCTCATCGAACCTGTTCGTCCTATACTAAATCTTTCATAAACGATACGGTAAAACCGCCCAACGACCATGTCGTTGAATTCCGCGCGACGTTTCTCACGCGAGCTTCGAACGGTTCGATAGCCGAACGAACAAGTCATCGAGCGGCGGTCGAACGTATCCCGTGTCACTTTCCCTCTAGAGCAACGTCAGTCGTGGTGTAACCGCGCATTTCTCCGAAAGAGCGATTTCTAAAAATCTAGAGTGCCGGGTCGTTGACCGGTTTGCGTAACGACGACTCCCCGCGACACGGCAAGAATGTCGCAACGGGCGAAAGTGGCCGGCAACGACGACGCGTTCGAGAAAGCCGCGATTATCCCCCTGATCAGACCCGCGCGCGGCTACGAGCTTGCTTTCTTTTCGAAACATCGCGCTCCGGCCTGTTTTCCGACGCGCGACCCATTTCGACTGGTCCGGCCTCGCCAGTAGGTTCGTCCGACGCGCGGCAGACCCGCGCCCGCGCGCGAGGTCAACGACACCGGCTGCCCGCCGCGCGCCGTGCATCCATCCGAACACCGCGGTCTGATCTATAAACGTCTTATCCGCTTGCCGATTTGAACCGATCATAACGCGCAGTGGCTCTCAAATTTCCCGTCGTCGACAACGGCCGCGATCGGGTACTTTCATTTCCTAGGTAAGGTACATCGACGGACGACGAGCGAAGTAAATAGACGACGTTTCGTTTCTCTAGAGTAAAGCGATCGGAGTTCGAGAAAACAAGTCGCCCCTGATAGGCAACGTGGACTCGCCGGGGTCAATAGACGGGCATCGCTTAGCTTGCATGCGGCTCCACGTCCGTAGAAAGAGTACCG